AAAGTAATTTTAAAAATATTTTAATACTTTACATTTTTTAAATAGTTCATTAACATGTTTTACACTTTAAAGTTGAAACATTTACAACTGCCAAACGAAAAACTTAGCAATAAAATCGATTATCGGTAAATAAAAGTAACAAAAAAAAAAAAATAATACGTATGTACATATATGTTAAAAAAATAAACAACTGGAAACTGCACAAATTATCAATTGTCAGAAAGTATTTGCGAAACGATACATTACAATGACGTGAACATACGCCTGAGACAACGCCTATTGTGGAGTTTTTTTGTTACAACAATAACATATGTTCTGTGTAAGTGGGGAGACAAAAGACTTAAAGGAAAAGTAGGGTTTGTATGTAAAAGATATGTGTGTGTTTCGTAAAAACAAAAAAAAAAACAACAAAAAAAAAACAGATTAAAAATAACAAAAAGTAAAAAAAAATAATAATTAAAAAATTTGCCACAAAAAAATTACTTTACCCTTTATCAAACAACAGAACTCTACAAACATTTTGACAGCCRCTGTAATGTCGGCATATAAAAGTGTAATTTATGCTCACGCCGTTGCCGTACAGTGAGCGCCGTCGCTTGCGTTTAAAGCCAACTTAATTAAAAAAAACAACAACAACAACTCTTGAAAGCCTTTAAGAATGTTAACTAAACATTGTTGAGTGCTGCAGAACTGCTCGTTGATTGCATCGACACGCCCTGAGTCGCCAGCGAGCAAACGAAAAGTGAATTTAATAAATTAGACTTTTGCACCGAGCAATGCGGAAAATATTTTCGGTGTAAAAAATGCAAAAATAAAGAAAACTGCAGAAAATGTAATGGAAATCCAGTGCCGCATAATAATTTATTTGCTTTGGTGTCACACAAATTTTCGCTCGCGAAAGATAGTTGGAGGTGTTGGCGGTGGTYTGTTTGTCTAAGCGCTTGCTGGTCATGCAGGCGGCAGACAGASAAATAGTTTTGTAAAATACAAATACCAAATATTGACAAAAAAGAAATAAAATAAGAAACCAGAAAATTTAAAACCCCAATGGGTGCAAATAAATATAAACAAAAAGTAAGCAAAAATTTGTGAAAAAAA